AGCATTTGAATCTCGCGTATGGTTCAGAGGTCCATTGACGTGACCACCCGTATGGTTCAGAGGTTCTTTGACGTGACCATCCGTATGGTTCAGAGGTTCATTGACGTGACCATCCATTCGAGAAAACAAGCTTCACGAATTAAGGCTTACTATCCGAGAAAATTAACAGCCGTTAAGGGAAGATAATATGGCCACAAAGGTATATGAATAATATCCGGAATATATATAAAAAATGAGACGTGACTTAGCTTGGTTTATGGCCGAGTTGTTGATCGTCGCTGCCGAGTAATTAGACATTGTAGCCGAGTAGTCGGATATCGCCGCAGAGTTGTTTTAGCCGTTGTAGCTGAGTAGTCATCGTTGGCTTGATGCTGTCGGATGGTTCGCTGGCTTTTGGTTTTGCTTGCTTCCGAGTTCATCACGAGCACAGCATGTACTCGGACGTCCTTTTTGCCTTGCTTTGTGTGACTTGCATGTATACGTGTATACAAGCCAAAAAATCCGATTAGCCTGCATGTTGCTGATGAATCTGACTTGAGTTCGTTCATGTACCGCCTTGCATCTTTTTTTTTTTTTTTTTTTTTGGTCGATAAAATCCGCTGCAACTGAGGTCCGTGCGTCCTTTTCCTTGTCTTGTCTCCGTATCCGAGTTGCGCAGCCAGCGGGTCGTATACGACTTGAGTATGTACTGTACGTATCATTGTTGATGCTCGTACGTGTAGATTTGCAATTGCTAGCTTGCTTGACGTCATCCTGTGTATATATATATGGTGCGTGTCTTGATATGCCTCCGTTTTTTATTTTCTTGCAGATGGAGTTGAAGTCGGCTTTGTCAGATGATAATTGAACTCGGCGGTGCGCAACAGCTGTTTATGATCCGGTGCTGCATATGTACATGAAAAAAGCTTGCTTCTGTTGTTTGGCTTGCTTGCGTCATCTTGCATATGGTGTTGAGAGCATGATCCGCTGCTTGCACGGAGGTGAGTCATAGTTGCCCATGAATGAATACCGAGTTATAGTCGGATTTGGCAGAGTTGTGGTTGGCGCCAGCTGGACTTGAGTTGAATTCGGAACCGACACTGGGCGGAGGCTAGCAAGCGTGGCGTGTGCCGGAGTCGGTTTTGGCTCCGCATGCAGTGCATCTTGTCACCGTGTCTGAAGCTGAAGCTTGTTAGTCTTGTACGTAGATTGGATCTTTGACTTGATGGAAGTCTAGAGAGCCGAAGCCGGCTGCTTGAGATGTGAAGTCGAGAGTTGACGAGAGCCGCAGCAACTTGTTGACGAGGGCCGACGAGAGCTGCAGCAAGTCTTGATCTTGAGGTCCACCGAGCTCTCGAACGCAAAGCGCCGAGAACCCCTACCTGGCGCGTCAGCTGTCGATGTTTTACCACCGATAACCCGCCACGGGAGTACCCGGGGCGGTGATTTGTTCGGAGGGGTATCGGCGTTTGCAGGAACTCGATGGTAAACGCAGGGAGACAACGATTTATACTGGTTCGGCACGCCGGAAAGTCACGGCGCCCTACGTCCAGTCTGGTGTGGATAGTATATTGCGCCCTGCGCTATTTGTTGTGTTTGTGTTCCGGTATTGTCTCTTGCTCATGTGTGTGTGTTAGCTACGTCTCTCCCGATCTAGGGACCCCTGCCCTCCTTTATATAGTCTAGGAGAGGCGGGAGTCCTAGTCGGTTACAAAGTAGAGATCCTAGTAGGATTATGTGTAACTAGTTCTAGTAGGATTACATGTAGGGAATCCTAGTTGGACTAGGTCTTCTTCTCTCTTCTCTGTGGGAAACCCCATGGGTCCCGTATCGACAATATCCTTAGAGTCTTTTATTTTCCTTCTGTCGGGTAAGTCTTGCTGAGTACAATCGAGTCATCAGGGTTTTATTCTCCCTGTTGCAGGTGATCGGAGGATACTTAGAGCTGACTCTTGTGTGTGGAAACCTCTTGGTGGGCTCAGAGAAGATTTCTTTCACGCTACGACCGTAGTGTTTAATTATAACCCTCACTAAAGGTTTTTATAAGAAAAGATGTAAAATCTGCTAGCAGCTCTTGTATATAAATGTTCACTATGTTAATACTCCACCATATCATTAAATTAATCTTTGTTTTCTCTGTAACTCTGATAACATTGTTATATTCCGCTGTTACAATAAATTGAGGTAATATTCTACTACTGTAATAAAGTGATGTAAGAAATGATTTAAGAATGTTGTAAGATTTATTCTCTTATTTATGATCCTGATGGAGAAATATGGATTTTTGAGTTCTCCCTTCGGGTGTGCTCGACGGAACTGCGTAGTTTAGTGTCCTCTCTTGAGTACTTAGTGTCTAATGGAAGACAAGTACTCCTGGGAGGCATTAGATTATGTGGTTCTACCACACTATCACCGGAGAAGGATCGCCCGCCTCTAGACTCCCGCCCGTCGTAGTCGTCCGTCCTGGCTCAAGATCTACAAAGGGGAGAGAGGGAAGAGTAAGGGAGGTGAAGAGAGGAAGAGAGAGGGAGATGGGGAGAGCTGTACCTACCTCCACAGTCGTTGCATGAGCCACCCGCGGAACCGCACCCCCACGCCCTCTAGAAGGGGCCGCACCCCTACGCCGCGTCGCCGCAGGAAGGGAGGTTGCGAGGGAGGAGAGGGAGGCCGCTCGGTCAGAGGTAGGTCGCGAGGAGAGGGGGGTCACGAGGGAGGAGAGGGAGGCCGCTCGGTCAGAGGAAGGTCGCGAGGAGAGGGAGGTGGGGCGCCGCTCCGAGGGAGAGGGAGCTGGCGTGTGTTAGAGAGAGAAGAGTGAATGAAGAAACGCTAAGTTTAATGTATTTATACTCGAAGACGGTTATCGGGTCTCGTCTAGGCCTGTTAGGCCTCAGCCTTTTTCAAAGGCGAGTCTTATAGTGCGCCGGTCATGTGTGTGTTCACCGTTGGCAAGCGTAAGGCATTATTTTTTTCTGTCAAATATATGTAGAAACAAGAGGTGCACATTTTTGCATTGAAAAAATTAAAGACCACGTCATGATGTTCCGTTGTAGAACGACCACCTACTTTGTATACATCGATCGATTGTAACCCTGAATCATGTCGTTCTAACTCTTCTTCCATTGTGCTGCGAGTCTAGTAGCCGGTAGTGATCTCCTACTTGTACGGTTTTCTAACTAGACGTGGCATTTTTTCTTTTTGGAATACATGGTAGAAATGAAATTTTGATTTGTGCTAGGGTGACCTACCCGTTTATTTCACATGTGGACTAGCAAACATATGCGTGGTTCCTGATTCTTGGCCAACGGTGGTGCGTGCGTGGTTCCTGCTGACTCCTTGAGATTACATACCAGCCGAGCCAAAATTATTTTGGCTGAGATTTGTGACCTTTACCACTTATTACAGCTAGCATCGTGTAGTAATACTAATCTTTAGCAAGGTTGGTATGTTCCTCGTGAAAGCCGCAACCAACCATGCATATGAGTTTAGTAGAAAGACAGCACCATCGTTTTGTGCAGCGAGAAAACAAAACAGCATTCGTGGTGCCCTCGGCTTCAGATCAGTGCTTCACTCTGCTTCTGCTCCAAACGAATGCCGCCTGCCTTGTGGTCGTATGACACGTTTTTTTTTTCGTCCTATGCTATTGCTACGAGGTGGCCCACTGGCCAGGTGGGAGAAGGAATAGACCTGAGACTCTGTGTTTTAAAGGCACCCCCAATTTTGTATTCCATGGAGCATGATCGCGGTAAGAATGGTGTGGTCAAGCACACAGAGTATCGTTGTTTATGTTCTGGCATAACGTACAGATCCAGAGCTGAGGGTACAAATTGCACGTTTTAGTTTCACTTTCATAGGATAGGTGTATTATTTATCTCGGTTTCACGCCTTAAAATCGGACGCGCATAATCCTGCAAGGACTGATCGTAAAAAAAAAAATCCTGCGAGGACGTACATGACGTGCAAGGTAAGGGGGGCGGCTTTCCTTGTAGCTGCGACGCACCCCGTGGGCCGTGCCCCTGGTCTCTCCCGTCCCTTGCCAAACCTTGCTTTTCTTTCTTTCTTTGTTTACGTCGCTGTCGTCTTCTCCTTGGTGAGTCGTGAGAGTGCCAGAAACCATTCTTTCATTCATTCGCCTTTCTGCTGCCGCCGCTTCTTCCACTTGCTTCGAGAACAAACCCAGCTGCCCCCCGGCCGATCATCTCCATCGCCGCCCCGGTGAATTTCAACGCCAACAACTACCCCACGAATGGTACGCGACTCTCTGCCTCCTGTGCTCCCTCAACTCCTCAAGACTCTGTTTTGCTCTCCTTCAGCTGAAAAGTCAGCCGGTTGTCGGATCGATCGTGTTGGTTCGTTTCGTTCCACGAGAACTACTCAACTGTAGTTTGGTTCAATTTCTGATGAGCTACAGTAGCCGGATGCAGCGACGAGGTCTCTGGTTGCCTTTTGCCACTTGGTTCGGCTCGTGTTCTTCCCTGAGGCTCAACTATTGTTACTATTCACGCTCCGTTATATATATGGAAATCAAATTGATTTTACTAGCTGCCTGATTATCCTAGAGACAGTAGTGGGTTGTAGATGCTCATGTAGGTATGGTTCGAAAAATAAATACTCCAGTAACATGAAACACCAGTCAGTTTAAGTTCCAGTTCACTTGATTTGTAGAAAGCAAACAGAGGAGCCAATGCGTCTATATACCCTGCTCTGAGAAACCACAACAGAGTGGCTTAGTGTGTGTGTTTTTTTTAGTCAGAATTACCAAATCGTGGCACGGTAAATCCCGTTTGTTCTGCACATGGATAGAATATGGATACAGAAGAACAGCACCCAAACCAGCCTATTTCTTAATACATACGATTGATACTAATAGTTTGTATATTTCTTAAAGAAGGTTCTACAGGCTGAGACGTTAGTTACTATACGCACGCACGAGTAGTTTATCTGATATATGCTTCGGATGGGAAACAGCACTGTGTTTTCGCCCCTGAAAAAAAGAGAGAGAGAAAAGCATCGCTGAAAATGGAATGTCGGGGGTGCAGGCGGGCGCGTACAAGGCCTCCGATCGTCCTCCTTCCAACTCCTCCGGCTACCGGACAGACAAAGTCCGGCGGAAGCGGCTGACGGCGCAGAAGAGGAAAGAGATCAAAGAGGCGTTCGATCTCTTCGACATCGACGGCTCCGGTGGGTGATGTACTAGTGTTTATTTATATATACATGCTAGCTGATGAGTTCGCCCATGGCCATGGCGGTGTGACTGACGCCCATTTGTCTTTCACCTGCACTGCATGCATCCAGGCACCATCGATGCAAAGGAGCTAAACGTCGCAATGAGGTACCGTATGATAAAGATGACGCATGCGCTTGAAAATATATATATATATCCATTGATCCATTCTAATTACTAATAATTAGTTGTAATTTGGAAGTAGAGCTGCTAAGCTAATGCGCATGCTACATACTGTGTTTGCTTGCAGAGCCCTTGGATTCGAGATGACACCGGAGGTACGTACGTGACGTGTTAATGACGACAACAGGCTCTGTAGTTGTAGGTGGTGGGTGGTGACTGGTGAAATGGTATGGACTCTGGCATCTGCAGCAAATCAGCCAGATGATCGCGGAGGTGGACAAGGACGGCAGCGGCACCATCGACTTCGACGAGTTCGTGGACATGATGACGGACAAGATGGGCGAGCGGGACGCCCGGGACGCGCTCCACAAGGCCTTCCGCATCATCGACCAGGACGCCAACGTACGTTCGTTATATCATCCATTATCTAGCATCCGATTGCAGCCATGCATGAGAATGAGATGCTGCTGCAGGGCAAGATCTCGGACATGGACATCCAGCGGCTGGCCATCGAGACCGGCGAGCGCTTCACACTCGACGAGGTCAGGGAGATGATAGAGGCCGCCGACGAGAACGGTGACGGCGAGATCGACCTGGACGAGTTCATGAAGATGATGAAGCGGACCAACTTTGGGTCTGGCTTTTAGTCACAATTAAGCAATATATCCCAACGTAACATAGATTAATTCCCATCGGTGAACAATATACATCACGTACGGTCGGTACATATAATGACTGGTCGGAATATATATAGGGATTTGAGAAACATACATACTATGTTGTAGTTATGTCCATGTATGTACCTAGCGACAACTTGTATTTACCTACATGTAATGAACCATATGTAAACTTATATGACTAGTATATGTTGTGAAACATGTCGCCAATAGTTATGATCTTTACCTATCCGTCTCTCATGATCAACATAGTAGATAAAAATAAAAAGAACACACATATAAGATGTGGAGACTATTCTTTATTTCTCTGAATATTGATCATTATAACATAAAGTTCCTACGCTTATATAGTTCTACCAAGGCCTAAGTGTTTCATAAGAGGCCACATAACAAATGGACTAGGATTAGGATTTTGTTGGTACTCAATTATGTCCAAAGTACATAATGGACTCCGCCATTATGTTTTTATCGCCAAGACATTTAGAAAACATACTTAGATCATATCATTTGGAGCCCACACGAAGAATACAGCTTTTCGGTGCTGCCAGTTCCAAAACCGGCCAGGCCGGTTTTTTCCCTACTTTCTTAAATGCAAGAATAGATTGCACCATTGCATTCCTCTCGTTGAACTAATAAAAAAACATATATGAATCGCCTGGTTTGAATTCCTAATGAATTAATTACGATTTTTAGAAGGTTTTCTGCCCTGGACGTGCTGGCCAGGTCGGTTTGCCAGCAGTAGGCCCAGTTAAGATCAAACTCGCCTTTTGAAAGGGGTTTCAATCTCTCGAGGGATAAAGCCATCCTCACCTTATAAATTTAAGGGCCACAGTCGATTCAGGTGCCCAACACACACAATCGACACAAAAATCAATCTACTGCCTCTCTTTACCCACTTTTCGCATCTACTCCTCTCATTCTTCGTTGGCATTGCAAGGCTTTTGGATCGACGACGACGAAGCTCTAGAGTGACCAGACTGGCTAGGATAGCCACTGCACGCCCCGACAGGGTTCCTCCCGGGTGTGTGGGGTTTCAGGTCTCAAGAGATCTCCCACGGCATGTCTTGCGTATCGCGCTTCAGGCGAGGCTCCTCCGACGACATGTCTTGCCTATCGCGCTAATCGTTGGAGGCACGAGGTTCGGTGCAAACAAACCCTAGGCGCCGGCCAATCTAAAAGTCGGCTAGACCCTACAACCTTATAAATAACATTGGAGAGGCTTATCAGTGTATAGTCCTTTACCTTCTCTGGATATTTTACCATTGGAATGAGTACACTGGATGTATTGTTAACCCCTTTTGGCATGTGCCCATCTGAAGTAAAGGTCCGGACTGCATTAGTCAAATCCTCCCGAAGCGTTTCCCAATTTCTTTGGAAAAAACAAGCTGGGAATCCATCCAGGCTCGGTGCCTTCAGAGGGCCAATCTAAAAAAGCACATCAGCTATTTCTTCCTCGGTTTATGGCTTGCAGATTTCGATATTCATTTCTTCGCTAACACAACACTCAAACAGAGACGTTAGAACATCAGGATCCCCACATTGGGGTCCTTTCTATAAAGTTCATCAAAGTACGATTTAATAAGACTTTCCATACCTTGCTGGTCATGGCACCAAACGCCATCCGCACTTTTTAGGGTCCGTTTGGATTCATTAGTACTAAAAATCGGTGTCCCATTCTAACACCCTAAAAATATGTATTTATGTCTTGGAAAGCGTAAAGTGGTAAATAGTTAAATGGGAGTCTTAATGAGTGTCAAAAAAAGAATTTTTATACTTCATTTGGATGGACAATCAAAGACCGTAGATGCGTAGAGCTCGTCGAATGCATTTCGTTCAACTACTCATACGTGTTTTTTTGAGTTCGGATTACGAAGATATAGTTGTTGCAACATTTTTAGAAATAAAAAAGCGGCCTAACTGTACACGTATACAGTAACTCGCGTAAACAGTGCTGGTGTCGGTTTCTTTTTCTGTTTCCTCGTGCTTTGACCCTTGAGTTGGCGCCTCTCCCACGCACGGAAGAAGATCAAGAAATAGGGAGAAGGTAGAGAAGGCAGGAGAGGAAGAGAACTAGGGTTTGCCGCCGTCGCCTATAGTGCCTGTTGTTTCTTCCATAGAATTGGTTAGGCATCCTCTTGTCTTCTTGTTTTCCCCTCCATCCTATGCTTCCCCTCGCTGTTCGTGGTGGTGATGTTGCGTTGGATGTAGATCAAGACGACGAAAGGTGTAGCGGTGAGGATCGCCGCAAGGGAGAAGGGGATACAAGAGATCGACCGTTGTGTGTCTTCGTCATGCTCTCTGTTTAGGGTAAGATCATGCTTTCCCCACTGTTTTGATGGAGAATCTAGGTTAGGGTTTACCTAATTATTTGGATTAGTGGATGGATTTATGGTTCTAATCTCGTAATTAGGCACTGCTGTTTTTCCTGATTGCATAGTCGTAGGTTGAGTGCTGTTTAGCGCTGATATTATGTATCCTAACATCATAGAAAAATTATATTTAAGCAGTAGACTTCAGTATCCTTATTTTGGTGTAAATATCATGTTTGTAGCCCTTATGGTTTAGGAGATACGATCATTGTTTGATGATGCTTTTGTGCTGTCAGAATTTTGGACAGTATTAGATGCATTCCATTTTACCATATCTTAAGTCCAGAATCTCGGTCAATGGTCTAAATGAAAGTTGTAGGGAATTTTATAACCTTTCTAGATTGTTAAAGACCATAAACGTTGGATCAGTATATCTTCAGTTATGTGTGTTTTAGTCAGCTGTTGTTGTTCTGCTGTCAGAAAGGTTCAGTTAGTCTGTAGGCTTGTTTTGAGTATCTTAGATTCTTCAAACTCCTAAAGTTATAATAAGAAAGTTGTAGAATATTAGTTATGATTTCCATATTGGTAAATTTTATAATTTTTGAATCAATATATGTCTAGTTATGAATTTTGGAAGCCTGCTATCCTGTTTTTGTCGTCAGAAAAGTTCAGTTAAGTTCAGAGGTTGTTTATGCCATCTTTGAGATCTCGTATGCTAGATTGTTTTATATAAAAGTTGTACATAATGGTGTTTCCATTTTTGGTATAAGTTTCATAATTTTTGAACATGTACTTCATCCACACCAAAAATGTGAAGCATGGTTGCTGCTGTTGGTGGGTTGTTTGGTCGCTGTTTTGAGGGAAACGACAGCGCAAGCCGTATGAATGCTTTTGTGTTATTTGTATGTGTTTGTATGATTATTCTGAGGTAATGATGTTTGAACAGGTGGTGCGCCTTTGAATCGTTCTTAGCTCATGCTCTTGCATCATTGTTTTGAGGCAAGTAAACGTAGCGGTGGTTGCTACAGCTTGACTTGTTATTTACTCTACCTATACTTTATCATAACATAAATGAAACCAAGATGATATAACTAACTATGAACTTACTTATCCTTTAAAGTACTTTGTATATGATCTTCATTATTGAATCTTATTTGTCTATCATCGAAAGGTAAGTGATATGTTTTATGATTGTGGAGACATATGACATACGTGGTAAGTATTTGTCTTTTCTTCATGAAGTAAGTTATGATTGTGGATGTATATGGCATATGGGGTAAGTACTCTTGCAGTTGCATCATATCATTGCATCATGTGCATTCTTGCTATGAGCATATGCATCGAGCCAGATCAGTGAGAAAGTCATATAACTATTCCGGAGTGCTATTGAGCCAAGTCGGTGAGAAAGTTATATGACTATTCTGGAGTGCTCTTGTGGATTATGTCGCCGCTTGCTGGCCTCGATCGTACCGATACAGCATCGTACGTTGCCCGAGGAGGGGTACGATGGAGCTTCATACCTTGTTGGGTATGGAGGCAGTGGACATGCATATGCATTGTATTTGCACTTTTTTGAGGTTTACTTGTATTGAAGTTTTATGTTGGCATGAAGTGAAGATGACGAGTGTTGTTTTTTTTTATTACGAGGGGTATTATTTTATTCATATGTGGAGGTGTTTTGTTTATTGTATATCATGGCCTTTACTTCTTTATGTAAATTTTATTGGATATCTTGCATACTGTTGTTTACTTCTTTATGGCAATATCATTGGATAAATAAATTCCCTATTAATTATTATTTTCACATGTTGTATATTCTTCTATTATTAAATCAATGTCTAATTAAACAGTAGCTTGAATGACATGTTCAGGCAGTTTGCTTGCTGAGATTTATTCTCACCTCTCTATCTTTCCAGGTGCTTGATTGGATGCTCGCATGAAGGGATGGGATTGGCGGCACATCTTCACTATTTCACCCACATTTAGATATAATAATGACACTCTTGGCTTGCTGTAATAAACTTAGTTTACCTTCATGGTGATCCTTCATGGTTTTATAAAAACATTTAAGTTGGAGTTATACTTAATTATAGTTTTGTTCTTCTTATCACTTCTACGCTTTATTTTGGTGTTGGGGTTTTGTTGCCGAGTTTTATGCTCGGGCATGAGGGAAGGGACGTAAGTGACATCTTAGACTTTTGTGGTTCTTGGGGTGTTACATCCATTGCCATCTTTATTTTTTATCTATGTTTTCAAAATAATCTACACAAGCTCCACTGACTCTCGTTTGTGCACTAAGAAGAGAGCCGTTTACAGCCATACCAAACGGGCCTAAGAGCATCTTCAGTAGAAGCCCTCAAATCATGTCCTCTATTTTTTATGTGAGTGCGCCCCCACATTTTTTAGGGTCTGATTTTTTCATCTCGTCTAGCAGAAGCTCTCAAATCCATCGCAATAGACAATGACACACGGGGCCCATCTATCATCCTTTTCCTCGCTCTGCTTGTCTATCGATATAATACAGAGCGTCACGCCGGGAAAGAGCGTCACGCGCGGCTACGCCTAGGAGCCACCCCTGCCGGGAGGAACTGCGCCGAGGAGGAAGCTGTCGCGCCGAGAGGCCTTGTCGGAGCAGAGGAGGAGCCAACCACGCCGAGGAGG